GTGCGAATCACGTAAGAGCAGTAAACAGAACTGAGAGACCCTCTACTCTGAGCGTACCACTCACAAAGCTGCTGTGGCGTGAGAGACGCGCGTGGGCGTCGCTGGAGCTGCATCTGGCCGCCGCCAGTAGAAGCAGGAGCAGTAGTAGCAGCAGTAAGGAAGGCAGGGGCTCACCAGTGGTGGGAAGAGCAGGCTCGACGACTCGGCGACTCGCAACTCGGCGGCACTGCAGTAACTGCGGCTCGGGCGGCTGGGCTGCTCGCGGGCGGCTCGGCGGCTCGGCGGCTCGGGTGGCTCGGGCGGCTCGGCCGGCTCGGGCGGCTCGGGCGGCTCGGGCGGCTCGGGCGGCTCGGCTGCTCTGCGGCTCGGCTGCTGGGCTGCTCAGCGGCTCGGCTACGGCTCGGCTGCTGGGCTGCTCGGCGGCTCGGTGGGGGGGGCGGCTCGGCAATGCAGCAGGCGACGGGCCGGGGCAGCTGCGCGGGGCCGGGACGGGCGGTGCACGGGCGGCGTGGGGTCGGGACGTGCGGTGCACGTGCGGCGTGGGGCTGGGACGGCGGTGCGCTGCCGGAACGGGCGACGCACGGGCGGCGTGGGGCCAGGACGGGCGGCGCACGGGCGGAGTGGGGGCCGGAACGACGGCACGGGGCCGGGACGGGCGGCGCACGGGCGGCGTGGGGCCAGGACGGGCGGCTCACGGGCGTCGACGGGCTGGAGCAGCGGCGCGCGGTCGGGACGGGCGGCGCGCGGGCGGCTAAGGGCCGGGACGGGCGGCGCGCGGGCGGCTAGGGGCCAGGACGGGCGGCGCGCGGGCGGCTAAGGGCCAGGACGGGCGGCGCGCGGGCGTCTAAGGGTCGGGACGGGCGGCTAAGGGCCGGGACGGGCGGCGCGCGGGCGTCTAAGGGCCGGGACGGGCGGCGCACGTACGGTTAGGGGCCGAGACGGGCGGCGCGCCAGAAAAGAAAGAGGCTGTGCGCCCCGAGGCGCGCGCCAAAGTGCAAATGCGTCGCACGCCACGGGGCGTGCGACAGAGCATGTAGCAGCGGAAGCAGTAGTACCCACAGGCCGAGAGCGTAACCGCTCTGAAACCATGTGAAAGAAACTAGAACGAGGATGAATGAACTATGAATGAAGTGAGTACATATAGGAAACCCTGATTGGGTTGTACCCCCTATGGGATACCCCACTATAGCCTACACAAATATATAAGCTATAATGTTCTGACACCAGGTGATCTGCAAGCCAAGGTAGCTGCGCAGTTCACCCAGGTCTGTGCACGTGTGTCTCTTCTGCAGCTCGGACTTCACGTAGGCGAGTCCAGCAGTGTCAGCTGTGGTAAAGACCAAGTCGTCGACGTACACGAGGATGTAGAACGGCGGCAGAGAAGTGTCGGTGCGTAGAAACAGCGACGGGTCGGCAGTAGAGGGAGCAAACCCAAGAGCCGCAAGCGTAGTCCTCAGTGTGTCGTGCCACTCACGCGGTGCCTGGCGGAGACCGTAGACTGGCCGCCGGAGGCTCCACTGGGTGCCAGGAGGAAAAGACCCAGTGAAACCAGGTGGGCGACGCAGCCAGATCTCCTCGTGCAGGATGCCCAGCAAGAAAGCAGTGCTGAAGTCAAAAGAGTGTAGCTCGTAGTCACTGTGAGCAGCTATGTGCAGCACTACCCGAAGAGTGGTCATCTTCGGGGTGGGAGAGAAGGTCTGAAAGTAGTCAACTCCCTGCCGCTGACTGAAGCCACGAGCCACGTAACGCGCCTTGAAGACAGGCGGAGAACCCGGCGGCCGCTTCACCCTGAAAATCCACATGCCACTGACGATGTTCGCCCCAGGAGGGGGGACAGCGTCAACGTAGGTGCCTGTGGACTTCCAGGAAGCCATCTCTGCATCCATAGCTGCCTGCCACTGAGAAGAGTAGGGACCCTCTATCGCCTCGGCGTAAGAGCGCGGAGTCGGGATGTCAAGTGCATCCGGGTCTCCCTCAGGGGTAAGCAGTACGGACACGAGATGAGGTGAAGCAGCGGCCAAGCACTGGAATTCCTCCTGCCTGTCCTCAAGGACGTCCGTGCCAAGGGCACACTCACCCCCGACGGACGGAGGACAGACAGACTCAGACTCAGCGACAAGACTAGCAGCGTAGTCTAGACGACAGCGAGCAGCAAAGTCGACAAGCTCAGCAACTAGGGCAGACGCAGCAGTGGACTCAAAAGAAGGGTCAGTGACGATAGTAGCAAGGAGACGCGTGACTGTAGGACTGGTAGCACGAAGAGAGTCCCACTCCGGGTCGGGAAGAGCAGGAAGAGAGGAATCAGGAGGAGAAGGCAAAGGGGCACGCAGAGGAGTAGTGGACAGACGCAGAGACATCCGGTGCGTGCCAGGGACAGGAGGAGGACGCTGACGCGAACCGCAACCACTAGTGCGCGCAGTACGGACAGGCAACGCAGGGTGAGACGCAGGCTCACGACGCTCAGCAAGACCTCCAGTAGGACCAGTGTAGGGAGAAGGAGCAAGCAGTGGGGAGGCGAGTTGTAACAGTAACCATGACTGGACAGGCTGTGGACACTCTAAGGGAGGAGGAGGACTGAGAGAAGGCGGGAGACCAAGAACCTGCTGAAGGAGCGGAACGAAGTAAGGCCGCTGCCGTGAAGCAACTTCAGAACCAGCAGAGACACCAACGCCAGGGTCCTCCGCACCAGCAGCAGCTCCAACGCCCGACTCCACAGCACCTGCAGCAGCACCAGCTCCAAGGTCCTCAGCACCAGCAGCAGCTCCAACGCCCGGGTCCTCAGCACCAGCAGCAGCTCCAACGCCCGGGTCCTCAGCACGAGCAGCAGCACCAGCGCCCGGGTCCGCAGCACTAGCCGTAGCTCCAACGTCCGGGTCCGCAGCACCAGAAACAGCTCCAACCTCTGGGGCCGCAACACCATCAGAACTAGTAGAGTCTCCAGCACCAGTAGCACCACCAGCAGCAGCGGGGTCCGCGACACCAGGCGCGCCACTCCGAAGAGTGCAGCGCCGCTCGTACCACTCACAGATCCGCTCACGGGAGGGGAGCTCCCGGCTAGGAGGAGAAGCACTAGCACCAGTCCCAGTAGTACGCCTGGGTCCAGAGGTACCTCTCCTGAGGCTGCATTACTGGAAGTACCACTCACGCAGCTGCTCCGAGGAGAGGGCTCCGCCAGGTGTAGGACCCTCAGGCTCAGGACCTCCAGACTCAGAACCCCCAGACTCCGGACCCTGCGGCTCAGCACCCCTAGGCTCAGTACTCCCAGGCTCAGCACCCCTAGGCTCCGCACCCCAAGGCTCAGCACCCCCAGGCTCCGCACCACCAGTCTCCGCACCCCCAGGCTCCGCACCCCTAGGCTCCGCACCCCCAGGCTCCGCACCCCCAGGCTCGGCACCCCCAGGCTCCGCACCCCCAGGCTCAGCACCCCCAGGCTCCGCACCCACAGCCGGACGAGAGTCGACAGCTACCTCAACAGGCTCAACCGGGTCTACCTGAGACACACTTGAGGGAGCGGCACCCTGAGGGGGGAGGGGGTCTACGACAGCAGCACCTGGCGCGAGGAAGAGAGGCGGGGGGGGGGAGCGGAGCAGTGCGGTAGGGGAAGAGGCGGTAGTAGGGGACGGACTCGTCAAAAGTGACGTCCTGAGAGGGCAAGACTCGGCGTGAGGTGGCGTGGTAAAACTGCCAACAAGGCGCGTCCGGGACAAAGCCGAGGAAGACGCAGGGAACAGCACGGGAGGAGAGCTTGTCCGCAGACGTATCGCGGACAAAAGCTCGAGATCCCCAGACCCGGAAACGCGACGCATCGCCAACCTCCCCCGTCCACAGCAGTGTGGGCGAGGTCTCCGGCAAGGAGACACGGGGCCAGAGGTTGAGCTGATGCGCAGCGTACCGGACCGCAAACGGCCACAGAAAGTGGGGGGCAGCCGCATGGATCAAGGAGGTACGGGCGACCTCCATGACCAGGCCAATGCGGCGCTCCGCAACCCCATTCTGCTGTGGTGAGGCCGGAAGCGTGAACGACTGCTCAATGCCGTGCTCAGCACAGTAGGCTGCCAAGAGGTCGGAGGAGAACTCACCACCTCTGTCAGAGTGCAAGCGCAGGATAGGAAAGTCCGAGTGGAAACGCTCGCTGAGCTGGAGACGGGCTCTGCGGATCCAAGGGATCAAGACATCAGGGACCTCACCCTTGGTGCGTAAGGGGAAGACCGTGGTGTAGCGCGAGTAGTCGTCAATAACTATCAGGAAGTACCTCTCCTGACCCTGACCACGGACGCGGGCTGGGCCCCACACGTCCATGTGGAGCGTCTGCAAGGGAGCAGTCGTCGGGGGAAACGAGGAGGAGTGAGGAGCGGCGCGCTGCCGTCCCTCGACGCAGGAAAGACAGGGAGGAGCAGGCGAGGGTGGGAGGGGAGGGAGGACTCTGGGAAGAACGGAGACAAGGTACCGGGAGTGCATGGCACGAAGGCGGTGCACAGATGGGTGGCCAAGTCGGTGGTGCCAGAGGACAGTCTCGTGCGCCAGAGAGCGACACAAGCAGGGGGCAGACAGCTGACCTGACGCGGACGCAGACGCAGACGCAGCGACCTGAGGGGACTCAGTGGTCAGTGTGTACAGGTCCGACCCCGGCTATGGAGTGAAGGTAGCCAAGTGGCGGCCCGTACGAGCACACGTGCAGTGTGTCACGCGCTTGTAGGCAGGGGTCAACTGGTGAACACCCCCGTCCTGGAGTGCACTACCTGCCACCAAGTTCGTAGAGAACGAGGGGAGGTGGAGACCTGACTGTGTGCCCGACGGGACTGCAGGACAGGGAAGGACAGTGGAGGAGGTCGCAATGACCGGACCCCCAGAGGGGTCAACGAGGGAGACAGCAACTGGCCGAGCAAGCGGCTCAAGGGCAGTGCGGTCACGAAAGAAGCAGCGAGAAGCACCTGAGTCCAGTGTGAAGGTGTGCAGTGCTGCCGTCGACTCAGTACCAGGGGGGGCAGACGCACAAGCACCTAGAGCAGCTGCCTCACCAGCACCTGGGGTAGCAGACACGCGAGTACCTGGAGCGGCAGACGCACTAGTCCTAATGCCCGGGTCGGGCGGCACACGCAGGTACTCAGCACCCTCTCCACTAGTAGACATCACATACATAGCAGTGAGAATAGCATCAAAGTCTAGAGCATAGATATTAATCCCCTTCTTCAGGAGATCAACCCAGCGGGGCAGCTCAGTGGCTTGAGGGAACTGAACACGCCAAGCGTCGTTCAGACGAGCGAAGCAGCGCTGTGTGGCGTGCGGTCCCCCACACGGCTGACCAGTGCGGTCACCAGTGCGAATGACGTACGTGCAGCTAAAGCCACCCCCCCCCCCCCCCCCCCCCCCGTGCTGAGAGTACCACTCACGGACCTCCTGGGGCGACGGAGTGTGTTGCTGGCTCTGGCCACCGCCAGCGCCTCCACGACCACCACCACCTCCGCCACCTCCTCGACCACCCCAACCCCTGCCGCCGCCGCGTCCACCGCCACCCCCACCACCGCCTCTGCCCCTGCCACCTCCCCCGCCGCTGCCGCCACCACCCCCACCGCTGCCACTAGCCCCTCCAGTCGCGCCACCACCCCCACCGCCGCCACCGCCCCCACCACCGCCTCCCCCGCTGTCACCGCCACCGCCCTTGCCCCCTTTGCCCTTGCCGCTGCGGCGCCCGCTCGAAGCCTACGCAGTCCCGACCTTCTCAGCATTAAGGAGGTCGACAGCAGCAGCAGAGGCGACAGAGGGAAGAAGGGGGGAAGGAGAACACCCCTCAAAGAACGGAGTACGGGGGTCGCCACGAGAGGCACCTACAGCGACTATGCTAGCCTCATGTGCAAGGAGTTCCTTCTCGAGGAGGGCAATGGTAAGCTCAGTGGGGCAGTGAGCTAGGAAGTGGTCCCTGACTGAGCGCAGAGTGTCAGGGAGGCGGGTGACTAGGTGGTAGAGAGTGAGCCAGAGTGGGGGTGGGTTCTTGGCAAGGAACTCATCAGGCATGGCGGCGCGGAAGCGAGCCTCACTAGTGCGGAGGTGCGTAATGAGGTCAGCGACTGTGTGGAAAGAGGCTAAGTCGGGGAACAAGTAGGGAAGAGAGAGACGGCCTAGTGCGGCAGAGGCCGGTGAGGAGTAGCGGGCAACGACAGCAGTGTACAGTGCCTGTGCAGTCTTGTGCTGCCCAAAGTGCTCGCGCTCATCTATCGGCAGGGAGTTGCGAATAGCGAAGCGAGCGTGGGCGTCACGAGTCTGCCACTGTGAGCGGGCAGTGCTATCAGCAGCTGCAGCAGGAGCAGGAGCATGGCCTAGGGCGTGATCGTACAGTGAGATGTCCTCCTTGGAAGTGAGCTGTAGGAAGAGGTGTAGGTCATCTAGCCAGGTTTCGAACTTCACTAGGCGGCCCTCAGCACCGAAAGCCAGTACAGGAGGGCTAGCCATAGCAGTAGTAGGAGCAATAGCAGTAGGGGCACCCCAAAAACAGTAGGCAGTGCGACTCAGGTAGGGCGGCTCGGTCGAGTACGGGCGGCGCGGCTTGGTTCAGGTAGGGTGGCGCGGCTCGGGAAGGGCGGCGCGGCTAGGTTCGGGCGGCGCGGCTCGGTTCGGGTTGGGCGGCTCGGTTCGGGCGGCTCGGTTCGGGCTGGGCGGCTCGGTTCGGGCGGCTCGGTTCGGGCAGGGTGGCTCGGTTCGGGCTGCTCGGGTCGGGCGGCTCGTTCTGGGGGGGGGGCGTTCGGGGCCTCTAGGGGCGAGCGCGGGGCCGTAAGGGGCCGCTAAGGGCGAGCGCGGGGCCGATCGGGGCCTCTAGCGGCGAGCGCGGGGCCGTAAGGGGCCGCTTAGGGCGAGCGCGGGGCCGTTCAGGGCCTCTAGGGACGAGCGCGGGGCCGTAAGGGGCCGCTAAGGGCGAGCGCGGGGCCGAGTGGGGCCTCTAGGGGCGAGCGCGGGGCCGTAAGGGGTCGCTAAGGGCGAGCGCGTGGGCCGACGGGGCCTTAAGGGGCGGCGCGCGAGTCGCTAAGGGGCGGGTCGCGGGTCGCGGGGCCTTAGAGGGCCGTGAAAACCGAGGCGCCCTAGGGCGCAGGTAGGTAGGTAGGTAGGTAGGTAGTGGTGGGCCCTAAAAAAATCGGTCCTAGGAAGGACCTGCTCTATACCATGTTGAAATGAATGAACAGGAATGATTGAACTAACAGTGAAATCAGTACAAGTACCTAACCCTAGAATTGTGTACCCCCTATAGGCTAACCCACTGTAGCCTAAAGAAGCACAACATATATAATGTTTGACAGCCAACTGCTGTTAGTGCAACCCCTCTCCTTTCTTCATTCCTTATCCTTCACACGGCCGTGTCGGCCTACGCTTCGGGACTAGCCCGAGCCTCGCCGCCAGCGTAGCACAAGCTAGCTCGAACGCACCGCGTTACCGTTTGCATGTTTCGCGTATAAATGTTTGCTCATGTCTTCGCTCACATCTTTGTACTCGTTTGACACTTTAGTGCAATCCTCACTACCTCGATCCATTGCGCCTGTAACAGTGAGTCAAATCGACTGTAGAAATAACGAGCGTGGATTCTGTAGGTCGCGTAATTCTTCCTTGGTTGAAATTCGCGTCTGATCTCGGCCGTTGAGAAGAAATTCGATCCGACGTTCCAAACGAGAAAATAAGAACAAGAATGAATGAACTATGAATGAACTGAGTACAAGTACTAACCCTAATTGGGTTGTACCCCTTATGGGCTACCCCACTATGGCCTACACAATAAGCACAAGCTATATGTTCTAACACACCCCCATAGGCAAAGTGGGGGAGAACAAGACCAGTCAAGCAAAGCAAAGCAAAGCAAGCTCAGGGTGGATCACAAAGTCACCACACAGTCTGAGCACAAGTTCAAGGCCACAAGGCCAGTTCACATGCAGGAGTACATATATATAAAGGACTAGACAAGCAAGAGCAGGTGTATATATATGCAATAGTACAAGCAAGGTCAAGAGGTGAGCAAGTGAGGCAAGACAGGCACAAGACCCAGCCGCGTGCAGAAGCGCAGATGATCACAAGGCACAAGTGCCTTGGTGAAGACATCAGCAGTGTTGGCCTTAGAGGCCACGTACGCAAGCCGCAACTGACCACGCTGCTGTAGTTCATTAGAAAGTAAGTAGCGAAGGGCAATGTGCTTTGTTCTTTGCTTCAATCTCTGCTCTCGACACAAGGCCAGCATGGCCTTGTTGTCTACGTATAGGACTGGAGGAGAATGAGGCAACTCTCCAAGGTCGGTCAGCAGGTAGGTGAGCCAGCGAAGCTCCTGTGCAACCATGGCCCCTACGTAGATCTCAGCCTCACAACTGGAGCCGAGAACAGAAGACGAGCGAGTAGCCCGCCACGAAACAGAGCCGGAACCAAGGCTGAAGGTGTAACCCTGTGACGACCGCTGCGTAGCCTAGTCGTCAGCCCAAGAAGCGTCCGCGTGCCCTGTGAGGACTACTGGACTCCGCCCTCCAAGCACTAGCCCCATGCCCGACGTACTGCACAAGTAGCGCAACACCCTCTTTGCTGCAGCCATGTGCTCTGGTCGGTGTCTCCCAGGAGCAACATAGCGTGCGAGAATGCTAAGAGGGTATGCAAGGTCAGATCGTGTGCAGGTCATCAGGTACATGAGGCAGCCAACAAGCTCTGGATACGGGCCACTCGACTCTACGGACTCATCCGAAGGCAGAGCTGAGAGCGAGTGGCGAGTAGGCAGAGGAGTGGCCTGAGGAGAGGAGTACGTGAAGCTGAAGCGCTGAAGGACCTGCAAACCATGTGTGACTGAGTCAGAGTGATGGTGCGGCGTGCTCTGTCCCGGGTGATCTGCAAACCAAGGTAGCTGCGCAGTTCACCCAGGTCTGTGCACGTGTGTCTCTTCTGCAGCTTGGACTTCACGTAGGCGAGTCCAGCAGTGTCAGCTGTGGCAAAGACCAAGTCGTCGACGTACACGAGGATGTAGAACGGCGGCAGAGAAGTGTCGGTGCGCAGAAACAGAGACGGGTTGCCAGTAGAAGGAGCAAACCCAAGAGCCGCAAGCGTAGTCCTCAGTGTGTCGTGCCACTCACGTGGCGCCTGGCGGAGACCGTAGACTGGACGCCGGAGACTCCACTGGGTACCAGGAGGGAAATACCCAGTGAAGCCAGGTGGGCGGCGCAGCCAGATCTCCTCGTGCAGGCTGCCCTGCAAGAAAGCAGTGCTGAAGTCGAGAGAGTGCAGCTCGTAGTCACGATGAGCAGCAACGTGCAGCAGTACCCGAAGAGTGGTCATCTTCGGGGTGGGAGAGAAGGTCTGAAAGTAGTCAACTCCCTGCCGCTGACTGAAGCCACGAGCCACGTAACGCGCCTTGAAGACAGGCGGAGAACCCGGCGGCCGCTTCACCCTGAAGATCCACATGCCACTGACGATGTTCGCCCCAGGAGGGGGGAAAGCGTCATCGTAGGTGCCTGTGGACTTCTAGGAAGCCATCTCTGCATCCATAGCTGCTTGCCACTGAGAAGAGTAGGGACCCTCTATCGCCTCCGCGTAAGAGCGCGGAGTCGGGATGTCAAGTGCATCCGGGTCTCCCTCAGGGGTAAGCAGTATGGACACGAGATGAGGTGAAGCAGCGGCCAAGCACTGGAACTCCTCCTGCCTGTCCTCAAGGACGTCCGTGCCAAGGGCACACTCACCCCCGACGGACGGAGGACAGACAGACTCAGACTCAGCGATAAGACTAGCAGCGTAGTCTAGGCGACAGCGAGCAGCAAAGTCGACGAGCTCAGCAATTAGGGCAGACGCAGCAGTGGACTCGAAAGAAGGGTCAGTGACGACAGTAGCCAGGAGACGCGTGAAAGTAGGACTGGCAGCACGAAGAGAGTCCGACTCCGGGTCGGCAAAAGCAGGAAGAGAGGACTCAGGAGGAGAAGGCAAAGGGGCACGCAGAGGAGCAGTGGACGGACGCAAAGACATCTTGTGCGTGCCAGGGACAGGAGGAGGACGCTGACGCGAACCACGACCAAAGATGGGGGAACACCCCTCAAAGATGGGGGTGCGCGGGTCACCACGAGAGGCCCCTACAGCGACTATGCTCTTCTCAGCCGCTAGGAGGGACTTCTCGAGGAGGTCAACAGTGAGATTGGTGGGACAGACTGAGAGGAAGTGGTCCCTGACTACGCAAAGGGAGTCAGGGAGGCGAGTGACTATGTAGTAGAGAGTGATGTACATGGGGGGGGGGTTCTTGGCGCAGAACACAGCAGGAAGCGCGGCGCGGTAGCGAGTGTCACTAGTGCGGAGGTGCGTAATGAGGTCAGCGACTGTGGGAAAGGCAGCAAGGTCAGGGAAGAGGTACGGTAGCATGAGACGGCTCAGTGCAGCAGTGGCACGGGAGGAGTAGCGCGCAACTACAGCGTCGTACAAGGTCTGAGCACTCTTGTACTGACTAAAGTGCGCACGCTCGGAGGTAGGGAGGTGGCGACGCACAGCAAGACGTGCATCAGCGTCGCGCGTGGCCCACTGGGAGCGAACAGTGGCGTCAGCATCAGCAGCAGGGGTAGGAGAGGCGCCAGAGGTGAGGTCAAAGAGAGAGAGACCGTCTGCCCTATCGCACTGTAAGAACAGCTGCAGGTCATCTACCCAGACGTCAAAGTCAATGGCTCGACCCTCACCGTCAAAAGCGAGGACACTAGGGGTAGCCATGACCATAGTAGACTAGCAGTGCAACAGTAGGGTGAGGGCAGTGTAGCAAAAAGGAGGCACTGTGCTCACCGGACAGGGCAGCTCGGGCGGCTCGGCAGTAGGGCGGCTCGGCAGATTGGCGGCTCGGCTACTGGGCGGCTGGGCGGCTCGGCTGCAGTGCGTCTCGGCGGCTGGGCGACTCAGCTGCAGGGCAGCTCGGCTGCTGGGCGGCTCGACTGCAGGGCGGCTCGGCTGCTCGGCTGCTGGGCGGCTCGGCGGCCGGCTGTCCGGCTGCTCGGTTGCCCGGGCGGCTCGACGGTGCTGCTGCAGGGCGGCGCGGCGGTCGGCTGCTCGGCTGGGTGGGACGGGTCGGGAAGCCCGGGCGGCGGGCGGCGCTGCAGCAGGTGACGGGGCCGCAGGTGAGGGCGGTGGGGCCGCCAACGAGAGGGGCGGGGCCGCAGGTGAAAGCGGCGGGGCCGCAGGTGAGGGCGGCGGGGCCGCAGCAGAGGGCGGCGGGGCCGGAGAGAAGGGCGGCGGGGCCGCAGTTGCGTGCGGCGGGGCCGCAGCAGTTGAGGGCGGCGGGGCCGCAGCAGATGAGGGTGGCGGGGCCGCAGTTCAGGGCGGCGGGGCCGCAGGTGAGGGCGGCGGGGCCGCAGCAGTTGAGGGCGGCGGGGCCGCAGTTGAGGGCGGCGGGGCCGCAGCAGTTGAGCGCGGCGGGGCCGCAGTAGTTGAGGGCAGCGGGGCTGCAGGTGAAAGCGGCGGGTCCGCAGGTGAAA